AGTCTAGATCTGAGGAAAAAACACAGAGAGAAGGAACAGTACTCAAATGTTTAATTTGACCTCAAAAATTATCTTGGGATTTAAAGCTGTCTTTAGGTAAGTAATTCCTGAAAGTATTCAATCTGACATTTGCGGACATGAAAGAATTCACACATTTTTAGCCAAGTTCTTATGGAGTTATATTTAAAAGGAACATTTTAATGTTTAAACTGCAGGAATCTGGATTATTTTCCCAAGAACTTTTCTTTTTGTAAATCCACATGAGATCTAAACAAAAAAGAGGTAAAAACATAACCAAATAGTGTTATTCACTATAAGGACACACCTGTATAATTATTTAGGTATGACATTGTTTATGAATTTGTATTTTTCTTTTGGGAACAAAATCTAAGCAACTGTCTTTGAAGAAGTTTTCGTCTGTTTATCTTTACTACTACATCAAATGTTGATTTAATATTTTTTGTACAACTAAATGGCATTTTTTCCCCCTTAGCAATATGCATTTTTATTTACAAGGCTCTTTATGTTATTTATTTTACAAATGGAAACCATACTTTTGTTGCCAAATCTGTACAAGTTCAGATGATTTCATAATAAAGGCCCGTACATCTCACCTCATCATTTCACATAAAGCCATTCTACAATGAAAATTTAAAGAAGTGCAAAAATGAAATAAATAAATAAATAAATGTTCTTTTAAATGTCAGCAAACATCTTGCAGAGGCAGACTTGGTCGAACATTTACAAAATACTTTTAGGTGTCTTTAAATACTGTTGGAATTATCATATATTTTATTTAAATGTTTTTAGTAAAAGTTGTATTTACTGCAATCTCATTTTTCATGCTTGTTAAATCCTATCATTGCTTTCAAATAGCCTTACTCAGAGTTCATTCTTTTTATTTCTATTGATTTACTTTTTTTGTGTACTTACTTATAATTAATAATGAATACATTTTCCAAACCATTATTTCATTCTTTTGATTGAAGTCATAGTTTTCTGTACAAGCTTTATTTTTAGAATAGTTTTAACATTTAATTCATTGCCCAATACATTAGGCATATTTCTCAGTAGTTAACTGTTCTTTTATTTTGAAAAAAAGCTGTTTTTTCGATTTCAAAATCTACTTTTATTGCATATTATGGCTTTTATGATGCTATATTTATAATGTCTTTTTTATGCAATAACATAAAACAGCTTCTGCCTGATATTCTTTATTATAAATTTAAGCACCAAGGGGAGACTTTGGCTGCATGAGGATGAGTCATTTAATAGCTGTAGCTTTATATTGACGTGATTAATTGCATATCATACATTATGCATAAAAGGACAGACCGGATATTGAGTATTTAATTATGAGTGATAGATTCTGTTTAAGTTTAGTATTTACAGACAGATAATAAAACAGGTATATAAACAGTAGTAAGATATTACGAAACATTATAACAATAAATATTTATTGATAGTCCAGATACGTGTATGTTTGTGATATTACATGATAATGGATGAATCTAATTGGCATTGGGTTCAAACAGCTCTTGCTTTTTTTAATAATATATTTCAGAAAACAAAACCCTTTTTTAATGTGTCCTGTGGATTTGAAAGAATACAGTTTTTATAATTAGAAAATAAATCCTTCTCCCATGTAAATCACATCAATAAAAAAACGAAATATAGAGAATGTGAGTATTTAGCATTCTCTGACCTAATATGAAAAAAAAAAAAACGTCACAAAATGTTACACAGTCTAGTTTGAATCAGATAGAGAAAAGACTCTGCTTTAGTTTATCGGTAGTTTTACATGATTACCATATTTTAGAAAATGTAAGTAAATATTGCTACGACAGTTAAATGTTTCTGTTAACTATAATCTTATTTTTTAAATCCTGAAAAAAAAAAAAAATTATTTGGAACCTCTACTATTTAATTGAGGTGAACTAATGATTTGAAACATAAATATTATTACATTTTAAATGTTATTTAATTTACCTTTCAAAATTAAAACCATATTGTTTAAATTAAAAGATACTTAAATTAGAACAGTCAATAAAGAAACCTTTCATCTTATTTATTTGCTGATTTTTACCTTAAGACATCTATAGAAATTAATTATACTTAATGATTTGAATTTTCATATCAATTTTACACTATTGTAACTTTAAAAAAAGTTGCATATTAGATTAGATTAGATTAGATTCCATTGGTTACACATGCCTTAAGTAATGTAGGCTTTGGTCAGTTCTTTGTTTACAATTGAAAAAATGGTTCAGAAAATATATATAACATAAATAAACTACTCACCACATGTACTGTTTTTCATAACAGGTCTTATTTTTTTTTTTTATTGAGGAGAGTCAATTGGGCTTTCCATTTTTAGAAAATAAAACAAAGACAATATTACAAATAATGAAATTGTTACATCATTCACAGGGTTACAGTCAATATACATTTATACAGAAATACAGGATCTCCCACATCAGTCACAGTGGTCTGAACCGGCACTGGTCTATTATGTGGGCATTAACAGATCAGTGAAACAGGGTTATCCCCCTGACTGCACTAACCAGGAGCCAGAGTGGTAGTGGTGGATGGGGTGTTTGCTGGGGGCAGATGCGAGCAACAGAGGGGAACACATAGTCACATAGGAGAACACATGTGCCAGGGTGCTGTAATTGTAAATGTTTTTTTTTTCCAACAGCCGAAAATACATGAGCTTACTCTTAGCAGCAGCCAATATTTGTCCATCAGCAGCCTGCTCAAGTCCCCCAAAACACTGGAGATTTGCCTGGTGCAGAATTCATAAAATGAATGGGCTTGAAAATTTCCCTCTGAAAATGTTTGAAAAGCATCAGTAGAGGGAGCCCTGGTGCTTCCTGTTGGAGCCATTAAATGAGAACCCTTTTCTGTTCACAACAGCATGAGGTCGACATCTTTACAGCCTGGATCAGATCACGTTCATGCACACTTTCATGTAACTGCAACAGTGAGACTTAACGCTTTTCCCCTACACATTAAACATTGGCACACTGTAAAAGGTGAGGCTGAATAGTTTTGTTCACCATCAAAGGTGTAAAGAAAAAAACATTGTTTAACTAAAAAGATACGGTCGGTAAATATGCAAAGCCAGAACTGCGCATTTGAAAAAAAAAAAAAATTCTGTTTATTTACAGATTGCATGTAAATTAAACAATTTTTTGTATATCAAATATTCCAAATACACAGGGATTTAAAATTCCTTTAGAAATATTCTTGCTTTAAAATGTAACTCTGAATAATCAGAACCCTCCTCTTTTCTACACATATTTCCAGTTTCCTGAATTTAACCCAAAGGGGCCCACTGTTGTATCTCCCCCCAAACTGCACTAATATAATTAGAACCATTATATAAGACTCTTCAAATTACACATAAATGCAATACCAGCAATATTACTTGCCTTGCCAAAACAAAAAAACAAAACAAAACAAAACAAACAAACAAAAAAAAAAAGCTGACGCAGTAGTCAGAATAAAATACAGTTCCTTGAAGCAAATGTCAGGTTTAATTGTATTGATTAATAACTCAAAGTCTTGGCAGCTTCCACAGGCGAACATCTGAATGAGCCATAATGGGGCTGAAGTAAAGAAACACTGCAACTTGCCAGCCTCTCGCAAAATGTAAATTCATTTCCTGCACATTAAGTGTTTTTCCTGGCGACGGCGTATTTCCCGTATTGAGAGACGACATGCAGCGTTTCAAAGCAAAACTTCCTAGGAAATGAAATATAGGACAAGCTAAAGGTCAGTAAAAACACGAAAATATGGGTGACATTTAAGTCACGCTATTGCCTCTCACTTCACTTCCCCTTTTTGAATCTTCGGCTTTAAATTGACCTCTGCTTTTATAATGCATGTTATGAAAAGATTCCAGGGGAATATTTGTTATGTATCCTGCAACAGAGGACTAGAAGAAAACTAAATCAATCCCTATCTGCTTTAAAGTCTGCGGACAGCTGGGGATAATGTACGATGGGATGACAGCGGTGCAGTAACTCTGGCTTGGTGCCAAAGCTGCTGTAGTGAGAACATGTAAACTCAGGTCATCGTCTGAGGGTTTGGTTCAAGCAAACATGAGAAGCATTGTCCAGCGTGGAGGAATCTCACTGGCACATACCATTAGGACAAGACAAGACACAACTGCCACGCAGTCGAATGTTAATGTGCCTGCTGCTGATGCGTTTTAAACCTGCCGAGACGAACTGGACAACTGGCAAAAGCCGACTAAGAGTAGATCAGAGGAAGCCGTTTGACAGGTGGTCGACAGGCATGTGTGTTATCAGAAGGACAGAGAGACAAAATCGGTGTTGGGGCAGTGAAGCTATGATCAGGGTGCAGCCGCCCCACTGTGACCAGACACATCTGACCGATGGTTCACAGCTGGAGGTCCATGTCTGTCTGTCAGCTCTCTGGGCAGAGCCTGGCAGGAGCTCGGCATTACTGCTTATCATTTATTTGCTGTGCGCGTAAACTCTTGTCTGATTCACCATCTCTGAAGATTCACAGGATTTCTCTGAACTTTGTCCCCCCATACTAAGAAAACTTACAACAGGTTAACATCGACAACACAAACCAAGGCTGACAATTCTGTACTTGTGTGACAATTAGTCCTCATAAAATAATACAACAAATGCATTAATGTGAAGAAGAAAAAAAAAAAGCTTTTACAAGGTAAAGCTGTTTATCTACATGGTTTTGTGTTTATGATTTATCCTTCTAAAAACCAAAAAAAGCAGAACCAAAAGGAAAGCAAAACATCCAGAGGGTTGGCAGCAAAAATAAACTCAGTGCAAAAATGGAACTATAGAAATTCAAAAAACGCGTATAGCAGAATTGCAACAATATGAGACACATTAGTTTTTTATTCAACAAATGTATGATTGTGACTTAACTGTGTGAATGTAAAACAACTGTGCAGTATCAACATTTTAATCCTTTAAGCATAAACATCCTTTTTTTTAAAAAGGAAAACTGGAAGAATACTGAATATAATGCTAGACTAATTGCTCCAAATCAAAGCTCGGTGAAATAAACCACTCGGTCAGCATGCTATCAAATACAAGATCCCACACTGTTAGAAGCGACCTTTTTCCTTGTGCATGCGGCACATGAGTGTTCACATACGTACAGACGGCACTTGAGATAAACACCATAAAGAAGGATGCTGTAACTGGATTTCTTTGTCTGAATGTTGAGTCTGACATAAACAGTAGAACCTGTTTTTTTTTTTAAATGTTTTTCTAAGAATCTCTGTGGAAGTCATTTTGCTGTTTTTTTCACAAGCTAAAAAGATGCAGCTAAAGGCAACAACTACTAAAATGCTCCCTGTAGTCCCTGTAGACACGTCTTCAGCTCTTGAACTAATCGCCTACAATAACTATCTCTGAGTCGTCATGTTATGGCAGGTCAAGTGCATCTGATATGTACAGTACAGGATCATGACTCTAGTGCGAGGGGAAGAGTTCTATTTGGCAGACTGTGAATATTTCACTGTGAAAAAAATAAACTAGTCTTTAGTTAGAGGAAGCATGGTCAGAGGGATTCTTCAATACAAAATGTTGACAACATTAAAAGTTTCTCGCAGTGAGAAAAGTTCTTTTTTTTCCTTTTTCTTTCAAGCTGATTTCACTGCATGATTTGTCCGTCTGATTAAATGTGGTTTCAACATCAGTCAAGGCCACATGTTGTCCATTTCATGGTTTGTATTTAATCTTTTTTTACCTGTGGCACCAGTTGCGTTGCGTGCGTAGTTCCCCTTTGTCTTGCAGGTGGCCACAGAGAACTCTGTGTATCCACATACTGTCCAAAATTAAAAACAAGACAAAACTTCCACACCATATTGAGGATGTTCTCCCCAACTCTTACTTTGCTTCTTTTTTTTGCCCTTTTAAAGGGTAGCTCTCCTACTGAGTTCATCTAGTGTACGGCCTTATATTATCTATAAATTTAGATAAACTCCTTTCCTTATCAGATTTTCTCTTTTCTTTAAAAAATCTTTACAAAATTACCAGAATAAACCAAAAAAAAAGGGGGGACAGTAAATGCTGAAACAAATTAAACTGGTGGAAGATTAAAAAATGAATTTGCTGGTCTATTCTAACCTCCCATGTTTGTGGTTTTAATGGTGGGTTTGGCTGTGGGGGTGCCTGGATTCTTCATCACTTTGATTTCCATCATCACAGCTCTTCGCAATTTATTCCAAGCATGGAGGAAGAGTCAGGGAGAAGGGAGAGGAGAGAGGGAATAGGAGAGATGAACGTTGGGCTTGATGGCAGTCTGGTGGAAAGACCAGACTTAATACCACACATGAAAAAAGAAAATCCACTCCATTCTTGACATCCAGAGCCCTGTCTCCCGACACCCTCTGCTCCTCTGTAGAGGGTCAAACCTCCACTGACTGAATCTGGTTCATCTGTGCACGCATCATCTGGACACTGTTCAGGATCTTCTTCTGATGACCGGCTAGAGTCACACCAACCCTCAGGATATCACTGAAAACACAAGAAAACAAGTCAGGCTAACGCTACTACAATCTATCAACACTTTTTCTATACTAATACTATTAATGGATATAAATATATATATATATATATATATATATATATATATATATATATATATATATATATATATATAAACAGCTATAAAAAAGCAATATTACATGCTGAGAAAAAAATTGAAAAGCAGCCAGAAACAAGACAGGAGTAGCAGACTGTGGGCATTTGAATTATTATGCAGTTTACTGTCATCTTTAGAGGTTATCTGTAAGTGAAAATAATAAACAAAAGTTTAACTGTCTCTAAATATACCTCTAAGTTCTTGTTCTTTTTTGCTTTCGGGAAGATTTACTTTTTTATTCTAAGAGGAAAGCAAGAAAAAAAATCTGAAGCTTATTTTTCTAAGGATTTACTTGTGAAATATTTGTTCTGTCACTAGAGACACTTGTGTAAATCTGCTGGCCTATAATAACAGCCATTACAAGGATCACCAATAAACTACGTATTTCCTAATATATCAACCTTCTGCATTCAGTTTGATAAAAGGATAAAATACATTGGTGATCAAGGATATTTGAGGAATAAATTACAATTTCGTTGTATGACTGCCCTATCCTAGGACCAAGACTCTGTTTTTTAAATGTCTAATAAATTCCTGTCAATACATGTTTATTTTTACATTTTATACAAAACTCATTTGAGTTAATAATTGTGTACACATTTATTTTGTGGTTATTATTTAAGGGTTAAAAGCTAAATAAATAAAAAACCTCTAAAAACTGAGAAAAAGAAAAGAAAAATTTAATTGATCACACTTCAAATATTCCATTTAGATGTGTTGTAATGTTGCTTACCAATAATGCTAAATAACTTTGCTATAGGCTGAATAATCATCTGTAACTGTTTAATTGAAATATTGCCCAGGCAGCTATCTTGTTTAATTCACAGGCTGTTTAATTTGCAAAAGGAGTTTTGCTTTACGACTATTTTCATTTTGATGTGTGATCATTCAGAGAAACTTTTTTTTCAATGTATACAATCTTTACTCTACTGCTCTTAATCGCAATAAAACTAATTTTATGATACATAGTACACACTACGAATATATTTTTCTTAAACTTAATTTAATAAACTTATTTTTCTTTGTTATTTTCTTATCTTATTATATACATAAATACTATGTATTTATATAAACTAAAATGTATAAACTTAGTTTCTTTTATTGTAAGATTTGCTATTCTTTAAGCTTGGGACTTTTTTACTTGCATTTGTCTGGTAATGTGTTTTTTTCTACTTCAACCGCTTTTTTAATCTTAAAAGCAAACATTTATATTTTTATAATATTTCTGGGTTTGTAATGACTCTATTTTAATTTACTGTGCAAAATTATCCTCTAGTTTAGTGACTGAGAAGCTTTTTTACCACTGTGGTTGGTCTAAAATATGTTATGGAGCAAAATATTTGCTCTAATTACAAAGAATGACAAATATCCATTTTTTCTTACAAGCAGACTTTAGTCAACGATTTTTCACCGTATCAAAGGGGTGCTAATTCAAACATTATTTAGTCACAACAGGGCAGCTATTTATCCATTACACAATACATTCCTCTGCTCTTATGCTGAATCTTAACAGTAATCACATTTTGTTGGCTTACACATCACCATCTGTTTGTGTGAAAAAGGAAAGCTAAATATCTCTGTGGGCTGATTTCTGGTTGTATTGTTTTCTGTAAGTGGGATATATATTTTTCAGCAACTTAACCCTTGGGCTCCTGTTTCCTCTCTAAAGCAACGTTTGACTGGGAGCTGTTGAATACATGACCTAAAGCTTTAAAGTGTATCAAACCCCATGAAAAAGCATCCCCCCTCCTGCAGACATATTATGAAGCGGAGTGTGGTCAGGACAAGGGAAATTAACAGTGAATTTGATTTGACGAAATGATCTAAGTACATAAAATAAAACAATGCTGAAAAACAGGTGAGAAAATGCTCACTTGGAAAACACTATCAATCGGTACGAGAAGGGATCGCAGTTCCAACACCTGACTTTCCTCTGGGGTCGCTTATCTTAGAGAGGTGGGTTCATGCTAGAATTCCTTTAGTCGAAAAGCTACACAGAACAGGTGGGGCAATGGGTAGAGCTGTTGCTTTGCATCTGGGTTTGATTCCTGGCCCGGGTTCTTTCTGCATGGAGTTTGCATGTTCTCTCTGTGCATGCATGGGTTCTCTCTGGCCACTTTGACTTCCTCCCACAGTCAAAAAAACATGACTGTTAATTTAATTGGCTTCTCTAAATTCTCCTTAGGAGTTAGTGTGAGCATTAATGGTTACCAGGGTCAGGATCCGGACCCACCAGCTGGATAATCCAGACTCAACCTGATTTAAAACATTTAGAAATTACTGCATGTTATCCGACTACAGTGTCTAAAAATCCCTTGCACCGCCTCTCCTGTTTGTACGGTAATGCCATTCATAGCGTCCTGCATCAGGCTACACCTGATACAAATTGTCCAATGAGCTGTGTGAGTCTGGGTTGCTGCTGCTAGCTACTTTAGGACACAATAGGCAAACCTGTGGCAAGCCGAGAAGACGATGAGAAAAAGACAGCAGAGTGTGGACTGCTGGAAGAAGCGTTGTGAACTAGTGAAAGAAAGACGACCCTGCATATTTTGAGTATATTTGGCTGGATTCTCCACCATGAACATATTCAAAAATAAATATTGATCCAGGCTCAAAATGAGCTCCATGATATGTGCTTGAGAATGGATTTGTCACCAATCAAACCCAGTTTTAAAGCCTTGCAGGTCAGCCTAAAGCCCACTTCTCTTATTAAACCATAAAAAAACGAAAAAAACAAAAAACAAAACGTCAGTTCAGGTGTTTTATAAAAGAAAAAAATTGAGTCTGGAAATTGTCCATTTACAAAACTGAAATTTAGATTTTAAAATGAAAAAAATGTAAAGGATACATAAACACTTGCATTTTATTTCAGTGTTAAATGATGTTTAAAGTGACAGATTATAAATAAAAATATCTCTGGACCTTTAATGGTTGTTGATTTTATTTATTCAGCCTGCAGAGATTTTTAATTGGTTACCCCTGCTCTATTTTGTCCTGCAACAGACTGGCGACCTGTCCAGGATGTACCCTGCCCGTCGCCCGTAGACTGCCAAAGATAAGCACCGGCCCACCACGACCGCACAAGGATTAAACGGGAGAAAATGGATGGATAGAGCAGTGGTTTTGTCATTGATAAGGTTGCAATAGGTGCTATAGTGACCATATACCAACAGTGGAAAATATGAGTACCCACAGGCTGAAAACTGGAAACCTATCACCTAAGAGATTGCATCACTTTGAATACCCAGGGATATTAAGGGGAGTGGTGGCCTAGAAGGTGGGACATTGCGCTTGGAGTTCAAGCCCCACTCCCACGGACTGCCACTCTGGGTCCATGAGCAAGACCCTTAACTCCAACACTGCTCCCTGGGTGCTGCAAATGGCAGCCCACTGCTTCCCATTGGGATGGGTTAAATGCAGAGAGTGAATTCCGTTACTTTGTACTTGTGTCAGTGTAATGACAATAAAGTTAAATTCTAAATTCTATTATAAACTGAGTGCACCTTTATAATCAAACATGAGGTTGTGATGTACACATGAATTGTTTTAACCAATAGCATTAACCATGTCTCAACCCATAGAGGGCAACACTACCATGGTTTTAAGCTTTTTTGCAGAATAAAACCAATTTACAAAAAGGTTTGAAGATTTGCATCGTAACTTAAAGATGGTGCCTTAAGACCTAATTTATACAGTCCATATGCAAAAAAAGTGCCCTGGGGTCTTAACTACTCTAAGCTATTGCATCCACTTTTTAGTCTCCCAATTCAAGCATTGTACGAAAATGTAATTCAGAGATAGCACCATTTACATAAGGCCACAGACAATCTTGTTATTAAGATTTAAAGCCTAAACTTCTCAACACTCACTTCTGTTAACATTTTCTCTATCAAATATCAGACATTCAGTGAAAGGTACCGTAAACACTTACTCCATGGTCATCTGAGACACCACATCAAATGTCGAAAAGTCAGAATTGGCAAAGTTTTCTTTGTACTGGCCCATTTTGATGGCATCCAGCCACTCATCTACAGTGCTGAAGGTGGAGAAGTCTGGGATGCTGCGGTCCAGGAGTGGGAGATGAACCCTACAGCAGAGACAAGGAGAATGGATCAAGAATAATAATAATAGTTCAAACCAGAATATATCACATCATAGCCAGTCCGGACCACCTGCGTATGATTTATTATGTTACATTGAAAAGATAGTGGACAGAGCATAAGAGAATCCCACGAGTCTAATCCATGAAAAAGTTTTTTTTCCAAACTACATCCTTATAAAGGGTTTTTTCCAAATGCGGTGATAGTCTTCAGGGAGCCAATGTATTCACTGACTGTCTGTGGAAAATCTAGGTTGTGGCTCTGGACTTCACCGCAAACGAAAGTACATGAAGGGATAATGGACATCAGCTAAGTCCTGGCTCTGAGAGCAAACTAACACGTAGTTGAGATTCTTAAAAATGTTTTCTTAAAAAAAAAAAAAGCTGGGTTGCTTCAAACCCAGGATTGCCTGGAGCGTTCGTGGGAACATTTGGATCGATCAAACCAAAAGGCTTTAATTTACATAACCACTCGGCGCCAGGAAAAACAACAGAAACTGTGTTTGGCAAATGTGAAGAGTGCCACAGAAGACACTGTCGCAAAAACACAAATATTTTAGTCAACAGTTGAAAGCCTTGGTACTGTTGGAATCTGAGAAGAATCATACACTGAAGTGTGTTATTCATATCAGGGAGATAGAGGGTAAAATAAAAAAGGAAAAAACAGCTTTTTTTTCATGATGTCGATGTAGAACAGATTAAACACGCATCCAGTTTCTCACAGAGAGTAAAGCAGAGATCACAGAAGGAGAAAAGCAGAGACTGAAAACAATGACTAAGCTAGCTTTTCACTTACCCTGAAGATAAAGGAGTCATAGCCTTCAGTGTGTTGGGATTGCGGATCATCTTGTCGAGGTTGTTAACAATTTGGCTAAACTTGGGACGGTTATTACGGTCCTTCTGCCAGCAGTCCAGCATGAGCTGGTGAAGCGCGCTGGGACAGTCCATTGGAGGGGGCAGCCGATAGTCCTGCTCTATAGCATTGATGACCTATGGGGGCAACAGAGATCTATTGAAATCACATACAGGAAGAGACATATCAAGTAAAACAAATGCAGCTTTCCGGTAAAATGTTTACAACTCTAGAAAATTTTAATTTATTAGTAATTAAGTTATTGTTTCAATATTTTTTGGCTTAAGCAACCAATATAAAATTAGAATTCAGCTGATTCAATGCTTCAAAAGCCTAAAATAACACACAGCCTAATAATAAGAGAACAGTGAAAGATTAATCCACCTTAAAGTATCAAAATAGCTATAATGAATTTTAAAATAAAGTGATCTTTCATAACAAGTGTATACTATTAAAACAAAAAATGCAATGACATCCAATATTTGAAGACTTTTTTCACAAGGCAACTTATTAATGTTTTTTTTTTACAAAGTCCAGTATCTAGAGTATGTATGCTCTTTTTTTTCTTTTTTCCACACTGAAAATTTTCTGACTATAAAAAAAAATTATGATTCATTTTTTCAAGATTATAATGTCAGGGATTCGGAATATAACTGCATTAGCATGTTGGTAGCAGGATTGGGGGTTGTTTAACTAACAACAGAATTAACATGAGCAAAGTGGTTGCTTTTTCTTTGTAGTAAAAGGATAAATGATTCCATAAAAATACAAATGCCTTACTTGTTAGATCATGACTGAACTGTTATAAAACACTTTGTTTAGGTTCTCTCCCATAACATTACTCATATCTGGCCAAAATTACAGCAATACCTTTAAAATAAAGAAGGCTAACAGATTTCAAAGTGGAAAGGAAATTAAAGTGCCTGTAACATGCTTTTCCATTAAATGAAGAAAGTGGAAGAAAAGTATATGAACATTTGAAAAATCTGTCGTATTTTACATTTCATGGTGATAAAAGACCAAAATGGACATATTTCTTTTGTTAAAAGTCAACCGTCAAAAGTAGAAAATGTAGGATTAATCACTGTATGAAAGTCCATTATAAACAGTTCAGGTAGACGGCACGCTGCGCAAAAACAGTGGTAATATGGTCAAAGGGCAACTTGCTGTGGGGTTGCAGGAATACTCTGACACCAGACATCAGTTTGCACTATTTTTCTGGATTCAAGAGGATAAGCACTGCCAGAAACGGAGCTGTAAAACTGACGAGGGACAGCTGGACTGGTCCCACTAAGCACAGCCTGTTTGATGTGAGGATTTTTCGGCAAACTGCCTCAAACACGAAACGTCTGAATTCGCTTGAGATGCCAGAAGACCTAATATTTTACAGATGAAGGAGAACCTTGGAGAGAGATGCTATTTCATTTTCATGTTTTTTTTTTCTTCATTTCATTTATATATTTATTTCAGACTTGCATTAAATAAAGAAAAAAGGCATCTTAGTGCATCTAATCTGAAAGCTTGTCAAGGAAACGGCGGATACGAACACGGAACAGCGGGTAAGAATACGACCTTGTCACGGCAGCAACCTTAGAAACAAATCCAAAATAAGAGATCAATTCCAAAGGACAATTACTACAGATGCTAGGGTTAAAATAAATAATAAATTGGATGGTGTTTTCAATTTCTAAACTCATCCGTTGTTTCTGCTGCTGCTACTCCTCTGATCTGCTCTGTATTTTTTCTACTGCTGCATGGGGCTTTCAGCCCTGGTAGCGGCTCCAACACATACAGGGCTGTAGTAGCAGTTAGCTTACATGATAGAGTTCCCTTCTCACATCATAAAAAGTGCAACAAAATCAGAAAATGATGTTCTAAAAAGCTATTATTCGGGGGATTTTGACCATATTTCTCAATAGCAGTTTATTTCAGCTGAATTACATTTTTTCAACAGTATTTTATCAGTTTTTCATCATTATGTTATTATATGTTTTTTTCTATACATTTATATATATATATTAATTTATGCTAAGAAAAGGATGTCACAAGCAATGCTGGGTGACTTTAAGCCTTTAGGGGCACTAGACCTGTAATTTCCAGATTTAAAAACCCTGAAAGCAAATGGCAGCATTACATTGTCACAAAATGAAACAGTCTTCCTCTATGATTTGCAATCTGATAGCAGAAAACCACTTTGGACTGGCAGATTGAGAAGTCATGGAGTTACGTGTAAAGACAATGCCACATTCGCTCCTCTAGATTTAATCCTACATGAGAGAACCAAAATATAAAGGTAAATATCATACCTGTTTTGATGCTTAGCAACAACTTTTAGCTCAGTCAGTTCTGTTTTTTTAGAGGAGTCCAGACTATTGTAAAGCAGATATTTGGGTAACATCACCAATTTAGGGAGGAAGACGAATTCCGTCAGCTTACATAGCTGAGTTACATAGCTCTAATTTAGCTTTTACCTGTGTGAAAACCTATGCACTGTTGCTTTAAAAACAGGTGCAAGACATGTTGACTCAAATGTAGGGAATGCTAGGAGCCATTTTTAACAATATTCCTTTAAAAAAATAAAGAATTTGTTGAAAACCAAATTTTAAATCTACTGATGTTAAAAATAGTTTTTGGATGTGAAACAAAATTTGTAATGAACCCTTTTCCAATGGATGGTGTAACAGTTAGGCCCACTTCCTTTGGCCACCCTTTGAAATGGTCGAATAAGGAAAATGTAGTTTTGTATATAAATCATTTTAAATAATGTATTATTGGAAAAATTCCGCCACCCCCCATAGAAGTAGTACTACGTACTAGTAGCAATACAGTGTAGAGAACTATATCTTCACTTGCCTGATATTTCCAGTTTATGTAAAAACACAAGGTTGGTATATTTTCATCAGCCATCTCGGCTAAAAATAACTTACTGAAGGTCTTTTTAGTGAATTTCATGTTCAGTCTCACTTTTAAGATTGTCTAACACCTGTCCACAGAGGTAGGGCACAGTTAACAGAGAGAAACAACCCCAAGCACACTTGCAGGAAGGGCGAACAATCCCTTGCTCATTATCGAGGTCATTAAAGAAGCTCCATTCAGACGCAGATTAATCTTATTCACAAGACCTCCAAACGAGGACCCCGATGGAGCAGAAACACTATCTGGAGCTGCTAATATGATAACCGTTGAGGTCCTCAGTCCCTCTTAGCACATTAGTGTTCTCACTTTCAATTTGAAACTATTTTCATTATCTCTCTCCCCATAATTTGCTCTCTCTCTCTCACTACCCAGAGGGAAACAGAAAATGAAGACTCCAGTCAAGAGTAGAAATTGTCCACAGAATACAGCTGTGCATTTCAAGTGATCTGATTTTGACCGTGTGGTGAGAGTGGAGAAACATTTTTATAAAACCCTTGTGTTTAGCTAAGGGCTAGGAGACGCTATTAAAAAAAAAAGAAATTCAGTCTTAACTGGGGGCCGAAAATTAACAGGACCAGAAAAAATGAGAAAATCCATATTAAATACGTACATCTTGATTGGTCATGTCCCAGTAAGGTCTCTCTCCGTAGGACATGACTTCCCACATGACAATCCCATAGCTCCACACATCACTAGCAGAGGTGAACTTTCTGTACTGGATTGCTTCAGGAGCAGTCCAACGGATGGGGATCTTCCCTCCCTGTGAAAACAAAGGGAATTACCCCAGAGAGACAGGTAACACTGAAACCTAACCGCCACAGACCGGAGAGACGTGTTCACAAAAACAATAATGGTAACAGTAATCCAAACAGGGAGGTGCCAAAAACAATACTTCTGAGAGGGAAAGTGCAGCACATAGAATAGAATAGGAAAACAAGTACAGAGATGGCATTTGTCCTGATAGGGGGGGAACAGAGTGGGAGTGCACTGTGGCAATTACGTCAGTCCCTGCAGAGTCCTTAAAATAACCCAAATAAACAAACCTCAGGGCAGAAATATATGAACATGCATCAAGCAAGTAATCGTTTGAATAATTTTGAGATTAGACTTCTTTTAGATGACTGATATTAACCTCTGAAATCAGTGAGTTTGATAAAAAGGTAAGTAAATATTTTATTACCAGAGCACTAGTGTACGTAGGATCCGATGTATCGTCCTCTAAGAAGCGTGAGAGGCCAAAGTCTGACACTTTGCATACAAGGTTGCTGTTGACCAGGATGTTTCGGGCAGCCAGGTCACGGTGCACGTAATTCATGTCTGCAAGGTACTTCATGCCTGAAGCAATGCCACGTAGCATACCAACAAGCTGGATCACAGTGAACTGTCCATCATTTTGCTGTGGAAAAAAAAATATTGCAAAACATCATTTATATATTAAAAGAAAACAAAAAAGCTTCATGCTTGGGGTTCACCTGATACCATGGCATTGCAAGTAAAATTTTAAGTTTTAGTTTTAAATGCATCACACTGACAACACCAAACCAAAACACTGCATAACTGCACCATATATATTTAATGCTCTGAACCTCCATATCAATGTGTTTTTTTCTCCCACACTCTTTGATCACTGCTGCAGTTTAAGGAATGGAAATGTCATGAAATCTGTACAAAATGAAATTCAGTTCTGTACACACTCTGTGTATACAAAATGAAAATAAAGGTTGTCTAAGTCTACAAAAGTCCTCTGGCCTAGTTTAAAAGCATATTCTGTTGGTATTCAATAACAAATTTAAATGTTACATTTTTCATTCAAAAGACCCCTAAATGTCTTATCATAATTAAAAGGTTATATTATCAATATGCAAGAATGAACAGTCTAATTAAAACCTACTTTAAAATGCCTTGCAGTTTTGAGTTGCAGTTCATTTTATCTTTTAAACACCTATTATTTTCAAGACTGAACAGTCTTATAAGAAAACTAGTAATACTTTGTTAAAACATTTTAGAAAGCAACTTTAGAAACACTCATTTCTTAAGTTACATGTAAAATCAGTCTGCTGAGAGCTTACTCGTTACATTGCACTACAAAAGTAGAATCTCTCAGCTGTGGCGTTGAGAGCTTACTTTCCTGCAAATATGCATTCTAGCGTATAAAAAACACCATATGGATGTTTTAACAAGGTCAAAAGCTTGATTCACTTAGAGGGCAGCCTTTAACTACCAAACTGCGAGCCATATGTCAGCTTTTTTTAGATTGTTAGGTTGTTTTGTTTAGTAATAACCTTGCAATAATTCAACCTTTTGATGAACACTTTATGCAAAATGTCTTTGTTAGCATATTTAATCCGAGTTAAGATATAAAGGAAGATCTATACCAGAAAAATATGCTTGTAAAGGTCTAGAAAAGAAACAGCAAAGACATCATTCTCACAGTAAATATATTTACTCATAACATTAATAATTCCTATTAATTATTAAGAAGTGTCAGTTGTAATTGTACCGTTTTCTACTTTTTTTGTTTAACTGATATTACTGTTACAAATTTATTGTGCTTTCAGATTCTTGCGTCCTTTCAGAGACAAACTTCCTGGCTGAACTAAATTATTTTAAGTGTCTCTGGAAAATGTATAGTTTTGAGATCAGGAGTAAATCTATGTTTTAAGTAACCATTTAGTAACACGAATAATTAAATACATTTTCAGCGCATATGAGAAGACAGTTAAAATGTCCATTAAAACTCAATAAAGTTGATAAAAACTCTCAGCCTTTTAAAAGATAATCCTACACCCTAATTAGGTCTTTATTTATTTTTTTTTTTAAAGAAAACATTCTCATCACACTGTGAACATTTTATAATGGGATATATCAAATAGCTATTTCAAGATCTTGTCTTATTGTCACAAAAGATAATTGCTGCTTTGTTTACAGACACATTTCTAAACTTCCAAATGTCTCCTTTTCCACTATTGTGGCCATAATTGGGAAAAACACCATTTTATCACAAACCAGCCATGACCAGGTGCTCCTGGCAAGCTTTTTGACATTGTGCTATAGAATAATTAGAACAATTATGGAAGAGCCTAGGGCCACTATTAGATATTTTTAAGAGATCTGGAAAAAACAGAAGCTCATTTTCTTGAAAACAAAAAATATAACTCCCAGGGGTGATTAAATTTATGCCGTTCACATAACAAGATCCTCTTCACAATATGGGGCACCTTAAAGGATGTTACAGATTTAGATTCAGCACATTTAAACATGTCAGTGAATACTGAAGGAATAAAATCCGCTTCGATTAAATCAATATTTAGAACCTTAGATGGTGCACTGATCGTGTTTGGGGAAGGAAGGGCACTACTCATCACTATAGCAGTGAAAGAAAAAAAAAAGTTTCAGCATATTGCACCTTAATACCCACAATGTTGGAGGACTGATAAGCGGAGTAATGTATTAGAAGATCTGAAGATGTAACACAAATGAGATATTAAAGCATAATGAGAATCTTATACGAACGGAGCAAAGGAAATGGATGTCAGACAAGTAAACACTGCAAAACTGCAAAAGTGGCCAAAAGAATCACCTCATGTAAAAAACTAGTTCACTCAACAAAAGTTCAGGCTGCATGGAGAATTCTTCATGAACCTTCAAGCTTTAAAGACAGTTTATGTTGAATAATGGGTCAAAGTGACTCTCCAAGAATTCCTTTAACTAAGATCCCCATTTAAGAGAGGTTTAGAAGTCTCTTCAATACATTTCAACAGATACAGTATATTCAATAGTTAGTTATTACAAATGAACTAATTTATAGACTGATCAGTTTTTATTTGTTTGTATAAAATGCTGTGTTCAATCTGACTTTCCCTTCCAACTATACCATTTTTTGTCCATTAAAATATTAAAATTAAATCCTAATTAGGCCCGAGCAGCGAAGGCTGCAAGAGCCTATTGTATCTGTACTGTTTCTTATTAGGCCCGAGCAGCAAAGCGCTGCGAAGGCCTATTGTATTTCGAAAGTTTCTTATTATTATTATTATTACGATTCTTGTAGCACTTTGAACGCATTTTACGGGGACTTCGCATATTCAAAAACTCAGGAAAACGTGGCAGTAAATTGTCCCCCGCGTGAAATAGCCGGTCTGTAATGGAATCCAAAATGGCCGCCCCCAAATTACGCCACAGCGCCCCCTAACGTGAGTTGGGGGAAACTGTAAGTCCCAGAGATTTGAAAGTTGGCACACAGGTAGATCTCGTAAAATCATGAAAAAAAGTCTCTTGGAGGTATGCCCTAAAACCCACAGGAAGTCGGCCATTTTGGCTCAAAGTGCGATTTTTGGCCATTTTTCATTTTCGCTCATGTCGAACTTTAACGAACTCCTCCTAGGGATTATGAGCTATCGGCTTCAAACTCGGTCATTATGCAGTTAAGGCATTGGAGATTAAAAGTTATCAAAGGTTTTCGTTTTTGAGCATGTTTAAGGGGTCCCCAGGGGCCCCGAAGTTAGGGTACTTTTGAAGAATTTCAAAGTGGAATAACTTTTACAAAAAAGGTTCAAATCAAACCACGTTTGGCAGTAAGGAGCCCCTTTGGGTGCTTGACCATACTGGATGGTCAAATGATGACAT